GGAGTGCAATTGGTTGACTAAGAGGAGACAAGTCCGCAGTAGGTGCAGAATCTGATGCAGGGCGTGAATCACCTGGGCCTGATGTTGGATGTGGATGACGATGATAAGTCAAGAGTGGTGGGGCTGCAGAAGGTTGAACTGGATTATGTGGAGGAACTGGAGCTATAGATGGTGGAGCTACAACTGGAGCTGTAGGTGGTGGAGCTGGAGATGTAGAGGAAGATGAATGGGAGATAGTGACTGAATCTCCAAAAGATGAAATTGGTAGTACCTCAGAAATATCTAAGTGATGACCTGAGCCTGTGAAGTATGATTGGGTTTCAAAGAAGGTAACATCAGCGGACATAAGATACCGCTGAAGGTCAGGAGAGTATTTGTCTTCCCCATTTCAGCAGTTTATGAAATCTCATGGGATTATTCGTCAAACATCTTGTCCGTACACATCTCAACAAAATGGGATAGCTGAAAGAAAGAATAGACATCTTATTGAAACTGCTCGTACCCTACTCATACAATCTCATGCTCCGTTGCGTTTTTGGGGGGATGCAGTTCTTACATCTTGCTATCTTATTAATCGTATGCCATCTTCAGCTATCCAGAACCAAGTTCCATTCTCTGTCATGTTTCCCCACTTACCTTTGTTCTCTTTTCCGCCCCGTATCTTTGGAAGCACTTGTTTTGTCCATAACCTTACTCCAGGAATAGATAAGTTAGCTCCTCGTGCTCTTAAGTGCGTATTTCTGGGTTTCTCGAGAACACAAAAGGGGTATCGATGCTACTCTCCTGACCTCCAGCGGTACCTTATGTCCGCTGATGTTACCTTNTTTCCGCCCCGTATCTTTGGAAGCACTTGTTTTGTCCATAACCTTACTCCAGGAATAGATAAGTTAGCTCCTTGTGCTCTTAAGTGCGTATTTCTGGGTTACTCGAGAACACAAAAGGGGTATCGATGCTATTCTTCTGGGAAAGTGGCCGGAAAGTCGCCGATAAAGTTGGTCGTCGGAGGGTGATCTACCTCGTGGTGGTGTTGGTTTTAGCACAACACCGACATAAAGTGACTTTCACGTAGACAAGCCTTAGGTCACTGGAAAAATTGCATGATGACTAAGTTCTTTCTTCCAGGTTAACGCTGGAATGACGCACAACAATCTTTTCCTACTAATGCTCTGATACCATGTGAGAAAGCACGAGAGAAAATATATTATTGATATTAGATACTCAATATAATACAAGAGGTCCTATTTATAGCTATACATATTAATCTCATTCCAATGTGGGACTACACATAACTAACATGTCTTATACCTATTCTCTATGTACCGACATTAAGCTTTTCCTATGTGAAAAAAGATTAGATTGTTTGTTTCAGTTGTCCAAAACATTTGGAATAGATAGGGCTCATGTTTCCTTTCCTATAGACCTGAATTATTAAGCTAGATGAAGTTTAATGAATACCTGTTGCTTCCTGTTTATCTTATTTCAGCCTAACTCGCTATGTGCTAAGTTTTAGTCTCTGAACTTCCTTATGGGGCATGACATTAATTATTTGGATATTTCTTTGTGTCAGATGTAAAAGTTCTTTAGTAATGAACACCCTTAGAAGTGGACACAGTTGTGTTTGTAAAATGCCATTCTTTTTGTTTTTGTTTCTCCGTATACATTATATACTCAGGATGAGTTGTTGGTAGCATAACATACGTTCTCTCTCTTTATCTCTCTGATATATATATTTGTGTTTAAATACTGATCATGTTGCTTGAATTCAGCCTGGATGTTTCCATGTATCTGATGCGAGCAGATTGTCTTCCTTTACTGACTCTTACTCGCTGGGAACAAAAATGATTAGAGGTAAAGACCTGGGCAACAATTATTCTGTATGCTTTGATTTTCGTTGTTACTATGGGAAAATTGTCTGAGCTCTGTGCCATATGTTTGCAGAAATAGAAGGTTTATCATCCTCCTGTTTGGACGCAAAGATTGCGCCGGAACACTTACTTCGCCTATGCTTAGAGCATGAAACAAAGTTTTGTTCACCAAATAAGTCAGCCCTAGCATACAATTTTTACAAGGTTTTGATTGTTAATATCATACTTTCTTAAAATTGCTTCTGTTTCTTTCTCTTTTGGTATGCCTTACCAAGACATTCATTTCAATAAATTTCTTCTGAATGATGTATCAGGAACCAAATTTCTCTATGTTGGCTAAAATGGTGGATCCATTAGCATCTCTTAAACAGCGAATTACTCTACTCTTGAAAGAACGCGATGAATATGCTCTTCAGAGAATCTTGGATATAATTGAAATGATCTTGGCTATACCTCTTAGCACCCCATTGGCTAAGGTAGTGTACTGTACTATCATTTTTTAGTTGTGGAGAATGGTTTTTCATATTAAGGTGGAGGAAAAAATTGATATTTTCATTTTCTCTCACTCTCTGACATCTCCCCTGTCATTCTCTTTTCTTTTTGGGGGATTGGGAGGTGATGGTGTCATTATGTTTATCTTTTACTTGTGCGCTCATGATGGCTTTTTTCCTTTCTTTGAAGGCGCTCTCCAGCATAGAGTTTCTTCTTAGCAGAGTTCGGATGTTACAGGAAACTGTAGCAAAATTTCCGTTATCTGGTAATTTACAGAACTTTTTTTGGATGACCATCTGATAACGTTAAATCTTACATTAGCTTTATCCCTCACTGTAATCTTTTCTGCCTATTGAAAAATGTCTGTTCCTGTAGATCATTTGGACCCCATATTTGCTCTGGTGTCCTCGTGGTATAAGTTGGAGTTCGAATCTTGGCCTGCTCTGCTTGATGAAGTTGAAGATCAGTTTGAGAAGAACGCCGGGAAGGTAAACTTATTTGTCAATTTCTTGCTTGCTTTTTAGCTCAACCCGCCTCCCTGCATGCATGATCTCTGCTCTTTCTTGCGGCTCTCTTTCTGAAAGACTTCAGAGCACTTGAACTGCTGGTATGAAATGTTGCTAGCAAACCAAAAGCTTGTTGTCACAACTATGCAGAGAAAGTCATAATAATGCTGTGAGCTGTGAGTCCAGTGACAATTATGTTACCCATTTCAAGTTGAAAAAATCTTGAAGGCAATCATGAAGTCTGATGATGTCCACAGTATATTGTTTTTAACTCAGGTCTGCCAGACTAATAATGCATATAACCAAAACAATTCACCTCCACAGTTTGTATCCAAACTTCAGTATGAGCTTCTGATAAAATAAATCTACTGGTAGAATTTGCATGGACTTATAGGTAGTGAAATGTTGTGGACACTCTCCTGACTTTGAATTCTACCATAAGGTCTAAATTAGAGCTGTCAAAATGGGCTTGGCCCGTGAGGCCAGCCCAACCCAGCTAGATACTTGGGTAGGGTTGGGTTCGGATTTTTTTAACTCATTTAGAACTGAGGCTTATAAGCCCGGCCCAAGTCAGCCCGCTGGACCTTGAGGCTTGACCGAGGCTTTGCCTAGGCCGGCCCGTTGGCCAAAAATTAATTAAATTTATATTTAAATATTTAATATTTAAAAAAGTAAAAGCTAAAAAAAGTATTAACTATAATCCCCATTCCGCAACCTTAGATTGCTCATTTACCCTTCCAAATCAACTAGAATTTAGATTTTTGATATGCATGTAGTATGACGATTAGTTTTTCTTTTGTTTAATTAACAACGAACTAGGAAAATTTTAAGTGGCCAATAATAATTTTTTTCAAAAGAAAATATTACTTTAAGTGTCCAATGATCAGTTTGGTTACTTTAATATATTAATAATAATTAAATTGTTCTTCAGTATAGAAAAATGTCAAGTTTTAATACCCAAAGGAAATTGACAACACTAGCAAATTTCATGAATTTTTAAAAATTTATGGACTATAATGATGAAATTAGCAAATGATGTTAAACCTAAATTAAAAAACCTCAACATATAAACTTATTGAAGCAATCCCTGAACCTGAGGAAAGTGAAAGAAAAGTATTAAAAAGAATATTCATGTAACGTTAAAAAAGAAGAGCTAGAGATATAGAGAATTTGCATTTCAATTATGAAATTCCTTGTCAAATATCAAGATTCTTGTACACTCTAAACAAACAAAAATCGTTCATATGATTAAGAGACTATGTCACGAAGTAATATTTAAAAATTTGAAGAAATTTGTTTTCTAAAAAAATAGTGCCCGGCCTGCTCTAGCCCGCGGCCCTCTTAGGGCTGGGTTGGGCTGGCCATTTTAAGGCCCATTTCGATGGCAGGCCGGGCCGCCCTAGCCCACCAAATTTAAAAGGCCGCGAGGCTTGGGCTGGACTGGCCCATTTTGACAGCTCTAGGTCTAATATTAAAGATTTTCTTGGATGGATGAGGTAACAATCAATGCAGTAAAAACCCATATGTTGTAGTCATATGATTTAAGTTATGAATGAAATTCATTGTCACTTATTTCAATCTCTATGACCATTATCTGCTAGGTCATGTCAAAGATGTGTCGGTAAGTTGCACCCTCCAAAAGGGTTAAGTGTCAACCACGAGACTGATTTTTTACACTGATCTTAAATTGTGATCTGCATTCTTTGATAATTAGGAGTTGGGAATTTCAACAATTTTATGTGGCAAAAGTCGAGTGCCATCACATAATCAGAGTTCTTTCACAAAAAAAAAAAAGAAGTGGAAGGAAATGGTTTTCCAAGGGATTTCCGTGCCAAATAGATGATAATCACCACCTCCCTTTCTAGAAATTAGCTTGGTGGATAGAGTTACTCGATACCTGTGCTAGTGGGAGGTAACAGGTTTCTGACAAAATTAGTGGAGGTGCACGCAAGTTTGGGCCCGGGCACTGTCTTTATCTGAAAAAAAGAACTGGCTTGAATATGAAGTGTTTAGGTTGTTGAAAATCAAGACCTATAGCAACCTCACCAACTCAAAGAGCGAATCTCGATTTTCTGAAGTTTCTGTATTGGTATCTATTAAGAAATTATTTCTCCCAAGTCTTTGAAGGCAAATGGAATCCACTTTGTTCTCTTTTATTTTTGAATGTCTTGTGCAGTGTCAGTAGTTATCAAAAAGACCTCCTTATTTAAGTTTGGTGGCTTAAACACGTCTGATTTTAACCTAACCGGTTAGGTTTACTGGCCATTCTTGTTCATAGTGGTTGAGAGAGTCCTCTTCATGCCACTAGGTCAAGAATTCGAGGCTGGTAGGCTGCCAAACAAAATAAAATAATATATATATNCTGTAGTAAACCTTTTGGTGGGCTTATGATCTCTTTATCTGTGCATCTACGTTTCTTAATTGTTCCCACAGTTGCAGAGTCTTCTGGGTGTTATCAAATTGCAGTATTTGCAGTTGAGATTGTTGGATTACTTTTTCCTTGGACAATATGTTGATTTTAACCCTCAAACTGCAGTTGTGGTTCCCACTATATTCAGTCCTTCGACGTGGGCAGTGTGGTGAGACTGGTGAATACAACCTATCTACAATTAGAAGGCATGTACTCTCTTAGTTTTATCTCAAAATTCATTACCTTTTCTTAGCTAATACTTGTCAAACATTCAGCCTGAAGGAGTTTACTGAGATGTCCAGCATCGGTGAGTTTAAGAAGCGCCTTCAGCTCCTGCTCGCTTTTCATGGGCATATTAGTACTGGTTTAAGGAATGGAACCTATTCGAGGTAGAGAATTTTTTTTTCTTCCATGTTTTTGAGTGTGCTTAGATTCTGTAATTTCAAGCTGATATATGGTACAATGAAACATGGTTATCATGCGCAAGCTGTGTACTTTTCTGTATATCAAGAGTTGAAAATGCTGATTGGGTAAACATTGTGCAGCCTTTATCTGGAGGACACTATTAAAATCCTCTACAATACCTTTGGCTTCTATGCTCAATTCTTGCCAACGTGAGTTCTCTACTGCCGCATTAGGAAAGTTGATATTACACTTAAAGCTCTTTTCTATCATGTCTAGTTAAAGTGATATTTCTTGTTTCTCTAACTTTTCCTCTGTCTTTTTCTTGGGCAAGGATTTTGGAGCACATTGGAACTAAAAGAAGGAAAATTGAGGAAGAGGTCAATGAGCTTGTTAAGCTATGCAGATGGGAACGCCTTGAAGATTACTTGAGCATAGAAAGCTCCAGGAGAACCAGGCAGAAGCTCAGAAAGATCATGCAGAAATACACTGTGAGTCATACTATTTTTTATTGACTCATCTTAAAGTTGAATTGTTGATATGGGAGTTGTCTCTACATTTGTTGCTTCACTATTGGGACTAGAATAAACTATGGCTATCTAACGGGACGGGACAAAATTAACGGGACGGGACGACATTTAGCCGGGACGGGACGAAACGGTAGGCCCATCCCGTCCCGCTAACAAACGGGATGGGACGGGATGGGACAGGACGGAACGGGACGGGTTCGCGGGCCTTTAGTGCCGTTTTAAAAAAAAATAATTATTTAAGCATTAAGTTTGGCAATGACTATTTTTTTGACAATGACTAAGTTTTTAAAGTTTGCAACAGCTAGTTTTTTGACTTATTTAATAAACTTAAAAATTAAACGGAAATTAGGAAACTAAGTAAAGAATTATAAAATATTAAAACAAAAGACTTGTAATGAAATATTCTAGTAACTAAGTAAGAGTGTAAGACAATACATAAAAAAAATTCAAACGCTTAGAGCCTTTTATTTTATTAATAGAACTTTCAAATCTCACATACAAATATAATTCTTTTGAATAACACCTAATCTATGCAGCCACCTTCTAGGAAGGGTTCTGTTTGAGCTAGGCCTCTTAGTAGCCAATTACAAATTATCATACTAATATTTGTAAGCTCCAATATAACTTCGTTGTAACTTATCTATAATTTCTCTCGGGCATTGTTCTGGAATTGGCAATGTTGATTGATGTTCCATGAGTTCCATGTCGTCATCGCTCCCAGTGCTAAGTATCTCATTGTATTCTTCTTCTTCCCTAGTGGTTAATTTTTCAAAATCAAGATTTCTTCTTTTTGAATTAATCTAATCTCTGAATAATACGGAAATCTCTAGGCTGTCCTCCGCTAATGAATGTCTATGATCTCCGATTTGAAATTTTGCCGCGTTAAAAGCACTCTCCGATGCTACTGATGATGCTTGAATAGCAAGGATATCTCGGGCCATTATTGGAAGTGTTGGAAAAGCCTTGCCATGCTCCCTCCACAATGCCAAAAATTGTTCGTTGCCTTCTTCGTCTTTAATACTTTCCAATCCTTGATTAAGATAAGAATCAAGTTCATCATCAATAGAGGAATCAAAACCTGTTATATCATCCATATCTTCCTATAGAACTTTACTCTAGACTTAGAAGTAGAAGGAGCAGTTTCACCATATGTTGTTTCCATAGATTTATATTTATCAAACATTGATCTAGCATAAGAATATATGTTAGTTTGGCAGTCTTCGAGAAATGGTTGTTCATTTTCTTGAATTGCTAAATTCTCATAAGTTTTATGAACAAGTCCCTTTGCACCTCTTAATTTTAAAGATGGGTTAAGTATAGTAGAAATTAAATAAACTTGGGGAATAGGGGAAAAATACTTTTTAAATTTTGCAATCATTTCATTAATGGCCGGTGCATAAGTTAGATTAGTTTTATACTTACCAAATACAACAGAAATTTCACAAATATACCCTAATATTTGTGTAATAGTAGGATAATATATACCATAAAATTGCTTTGTAGCATAATAAATTTTTTTTAAATATTTAGTAAGCTCTTTGATCTGATCCCAATTATAATCAACAATTTGATTAGCGGGGATACCATTATGCATATTAAATACCTTTTGTATAGGCACCCGATAATCATTAGCAACTTTAAGCATTTCATAAGTAGAATTTCACCTAGCACAAACATCTTTTGGAACTTTTCTATATGGAAGGTTAGCACTAGCACATTGTTGAGCAAATTTACGAATTCTACTCGCTTTATTAGCACGAAAAATATAGCCGCAAGCATGTTGTACTTTACTACAAGCATCAGAAAATAAATTAATACCATCTTTTACAACCAAGTTAAAAATATGGCATGCACATCTAACATGAAAAATTGCTGGATTAATTGGACAAAGTCTAGTTCTTAAGCTAGTTGCTGCAGTTGTGTTAGCAGAAGCATTATCTAAATTTATAACCAATGAGTCCATAAAAATCAAGTATTTGTAGAACAATAGTTGCAATATATGCTCCAGTGTGTTTTGAATCAACAAATTTATAATCAATTATACGTTTTTGCATGTTCCAGTGATGATCAACCCAATGACATGTAACATTTAAATAATCACAACCATTAGGACTACGACCTATATCAGATGTGATAGACATTTTACAATCTAAGTGAAAAAATACGCAACGTATACTGAAGATATTTGGTTTGAAATTTAAAAACATCATTTCTAACCGTGGTCTTAGGAAAACCTTGAAAAGCAGGATTATAAGTTTCTTGTATATAATGCACAAAAGCAGGGTGAGAAGGAAAAGTAAAAGGTAAGCCACAGACAGCCACCATTTTTGCTAAGTTCTCACAATCTCTATCTTTGTTATAGGGGCGTAAAATAGTACCAGAAACAGGGTCAAGCTGCTGTTGTAAAAAATTAGAATCCCCGCCAGATCCACTAGGAGTGCCAGTACCGGTGCTAGGATCCGTTATTTGCCCGGCTTCTATTTTAGCTTGTATCCATAAATCTTTGTGGTCCCTACCTAAGTGCCTAGTTAAACCCCCCGTCCCACCACTTTTGGTGTGCGCAAACCGTTGCTTACATATTTCACATGTAGCACGTTGATTGACTTTACCATGTTTAAAAAATTTCCATACAAGTGATGTTTTGGGACGTTCGCCCTTAGGCTTACCCCTTACAGGAGGTACAGGGGGTAAAGCTCCAGACCGAGATTGACTCTGA